AGAATCATAAAAATGGAGATCATGTGGAGGGTGATCAGTGGGGAGGGGGCAGAAGAGAATGGGGGAAAAGCACAGGGATTAAGAAGCATAATTTGTAGGTACAAAATAGGCAGGGGGATATTAAGAATAGTATAGGAAATGGAGAAGCGAAAGAAGTTGCACGACCCATGCATATATGCATGACCCATGGACATGAACTAAAGGGGATATTACTGGAGTGAAGTGGGGTACTGGGCAAAGGGGGGCAAAGGGGAAAAACTGGGACAACTATAATAGTATAATCGATAAAATATACTTAAAAATAAAGTAAGCCCTGGCTGGTGTGGCTCAGTAGATGGAGTGCCAGCCTGTAAACCAAAAGGTTGCTGGTTGGATTCCTGGTTGGGGTTCATGCTTGGGTTGAGGACCAAGTACCAGGTGTGGGGCTTGCAAGAGGCAACCACACATTGATGTTTCTCTCCCTCTCTTTCTCCCTCCCTTCCTCTCTGTCTAAAAATAAATTTAAAAAAATTGCTACCCAAAGAATATGCTGAGGTTAAATCAAGCAGCTGTTGACAGAACAGAAAGTAGGCCTTGAAAGGGTGAAAGGAGGTGGTGTGGTATGAAGACCAAAAAGCATGTCTAGCTGAGGCAGCTGCACAGAGTTAAAATTGATTAGTAGATTAGCTAAATGGACTTTAAGGTTAAACACAGCACCTTCAGTCAATTACTTATTGTACTTACTCTTCTCTCTAAAGTTCAACATGACAAGTTGAAGGTAGTTAAAAATAATAAGCAAATTCAATAATTATAGATATGTTTGCTTTTGTATTCTCAACTATCACCATTTATCTGTCTCTTACAGACAGATCTCCACATTTCCTAGGAAGGACTCAGGTTATCTCATGGTTTTGTAAGATAAATAATAATCACAATAAATAGTTTTACTTTAATCAATAAACTATTATCCTTTTAATATTTATTTTTATTTTAACATAAAATTACAACAAAAGCAATGTAATAACTATGCTAATTACATTGTTTATGAGCATATTTTCATTTACTCATTAATTTATTTATTGACACTGACAATATTAGGCATTATACTCTACATTCAAAGAGTTATCACTCAGCCCTGACCATCTCTATACATTCTTGTTGAATATGCCAAAAATGCAAGGCTCTTACTGTTCCTTACCTGGGACATACCTCAGGGCTGTGTTTGAAATGAGCAACTTTGAGGGATGAGGTAATACCTCCCCCAGACAAAGAGTAGGTTTAGTTACTGCTTATTATAAGTGGTATTAATTCCCACAGCTCAGTATTTCTCAGCCTCAATGCAAACTCACTGCATGCATAGCATCCATGTGAACCTCATGTTGCTTACTGTGCTGTGAGTGGTAAAGTCCTTTTGTCTCTGAACCATCAGTCTTGTGTCTGTGGCCAGTATTCATAAAATAGTAACATACTAATTTATCAATTTGTAAGGAGGATTATAATCTCTATTTTGCCAATCACTCTCCAGGCCCTTATTACAGACATTTCTTTAAGGTATATTACAAACATCATTGCTGTAATATACCTTAAAGAAAAGACCACAACACTGTAATGATTTATTCAGCAATTTCTATGTTTTGGGTACTGGTAAACATACAAACAGTTACTATTATCTCCATCTTACAGATGAGAAAACTAGATGATTAATCTATGTGAGATAGATTAATTTATGTTGATTAATCACCTTTGAGGTCAAACAGCTTGTTAGTGATGGAGCAAGTTTTCAAATACAAGTCTTCATGACTAAAATTCAGGCGTCTGCCATATATTTAGAAAAATTTTTTAATTTTTAAAATTTTATTGATTATGCCATTACATTTGCTCTATTTCCCCCTTCATTCCCCTCCACCCTGCACACCCCTCCCCCACTATTCCCCCCCTTTAGTTCATGAACACATGTCTCAAGTTCTTTAGATTCTACATTTCCCATACTATTCTTACCCTCCACCCTACCTATTTTCTATCTACTTACTGTCTATGCTACTTATTTTCCGTACCTTTTCCCCCCTTCTCCTTCTCCCACTCCCCTGTTGCTAACCCTCCATGTGATCTCCATTTCTATGGTTCACTCCTGATCTAGCTGTCCTCTTAATTTGCTTTTGTTTTAGGTGTGGTTGTTAATAACTGAGTTTGCTGTCCTTTCACTGTTCATATTTTTTATCTTCTTCTTCTTAGATAAGTCCCTTTAACGTTTTATATAATAAGGGCTTGGTGGTGATGAACTCCTTGAATTTGATCTTATCTGAGAAGCACTTTAACTGTCCTTCCATTCTTAATGAAAGCTTTGCTGGGTAGAGCAATCTTGGTTGTAGGTCTTTGGTTTTCATGACTTGGAATACTTCTTTCCAGCCCCTTCTTGCCTAAAAGGTCTCTTTTGAAAAATCAGCTGACAGTCTGATGGGAACTCCTTTGTAGGTGACTGTCCCCTTATGTCTTGCTGTTTCTAGGATTCTCTCCTTCATTTTAATCTTGGCTAATATAATGATGATGTGCCTTGGTGTGTTCCTTCTTGGGTCCAACATCTTTGGGACTCTCTGAGCTTCCTGGATTTCCTGGAAGTGCATTTCCTTTGCCAGAATGGGGAAGTTCTCCTTTATTATTTGTTCAAATAAGTTTTCCACTCGTGACTGTTCCTCTTCCCCTTCTGGTACCCCTATAATTCGGATGTTGGAACGTTTAAAGATATCCTGGAGGATCCTAAGCCTCTCTTCATTTTTTTGAATTCTCATTTCTTCATCCTTTTCTGTTTGGTCATCTTTTCCTTCCTTCTGGTCTGCTCCCTTGATTTGAGTCCCAGTTTCCTTTCTATTACTCTTGGTTTCCTGTGCATTTCCATTCATTTCAATTAGTTTAGCCTTCATATGTTCCTCTAATTTGTGACTAAAATCAACCAGTTCTGTGAGCATCCTGATCACCAGTGTTTTGAACTGTGCATCTGAAAGTTTGGCTATTTCTTTCTCACTTAGATTTATCGGCTCTGGGGCTCTGAGTTATTCTTGAGCCATGTTTTGATCTGTTTGTGCCTTTTACGTATGAGGAGAGGCACCTTCGATGTTCACCAGGGCGGGGCCACCCAGGTCGCTGGGTTGTGACCAGCTGTATGTGGGGGCGGGGTCAGAGAGGGAGCAATGGCGGTCCTCTCTGCTGGCCCAGTCCGCCTCACCACTTACCCCCCACCTGTTTATCTGAGCACAAATGTGTGAGTCCGCCGCCCTACGCCGGGGTCTTCGCGGTCTGTCTCAATGCACGTCTCTTCACTGGTTTATCTGCGAGCAAATGCATGACCTCAGACAGCCAGCTGTGCCCTGAGCCTTCCCGTAGCTACCCTGCACCTGGGATCCACGCCCTTGGCTGCTTGCCCGCCGCCGGGATTGGGGGATTGTTTTTGCCTGACCACTCTGCTGCCGGCTTCGCCCTTCTCACCGGTTTAGCTGAGCTGTTCGTTGTTTTTGGACTCTGTATTGTTTGATTTTCTGTGGTTTGGTTGCACTGATTATTATTAAAACTTTGTTGTTTTTAGATTTGGTTGTGTGAGGAAGCAAAGTGTTTCCACCTACGCCTCCATCTTGGTGGAAGTCTATTTAGAAAATCTTAAAAAGATACTGCAAATTAACTGTATCAGCGTCCTATTTGAGGTTTTTTTTTAAAGATTGTTTTTATTTACTTATTTTTAGAGAGGGGGAAAGGAGAGAGAAAGAGAGGGACAGAAGCATCAGTTGGTTGTTTCTCACATGCCCCCAACTGGGGACATGGCGCACAACCCAGGCATGTGCCCTGGCTGTGGAATCAAACCAGCAACCCTTTGGTCGCGAGGCTGGCACTCAATCCACCGAGCCACACCAGGCAGGGCCTATTTGACGTTTGATAAGTTATACCAAAAGAGCGAACAGTTAAAGAATCTTCTATATTTAAAAAAAAAACAACTTGTCTTTGTTGTCTCAAAACACACTGACATATTTATTGCACTAAAATCTAGTACCTGTTTTACTAGACAGAAGAGATCTTAGAAAGTGAGTGTATAATCGGAAAATATTGAGTGGAACCTGAATGTTCAAAAGCATTATATCTTAGAAATTGAGAACATAGCTGAGACTTATCAGTGTGTTCTCCCCCTGCTCACCCAGAAAAAAAATTCCAAAGCTGGCATTAGACATTAAGGGCACTGTCCAAAACTTTCTCTGGAGGGCAGGTTCCAACTCTGTGTTTACCATGGCAGTGAAAAGAGGCATTCACCACTTTTTTGGTGAAGATTTAGCTATTTAACTCTCTCAGTAGGCACTGAATTCCAATAGCGTTAAATTCAGGTCTTACTCATTTTTATAATATCATTACTTTTTCCTATGCCAGTCTTTTTTTTCCTATCTTTACTTTTTTCTCCTGGTTTCTGTTTTCTTTTTATAAAGAATTGTAATAGTATGCACCTCAAATGCTAACAAGTACAATGGGAAGAATTCCGTAATTAAATACAAGCCTTCATTTTGTATTCATTAGATCACTGTTTTCATTTTCTATGATGCCAATTGAATTTTAAGTAGAAAGCTGTAAGACAAAAATTTTATAAATTAGTGTAGGGTGGCTAATAAATGATATAATGTAGTATAAAAGCTAATAGTTGCCCAAATTCCAACAGGGTAATTTTTAAAAACCTAATTCCCCTTATATTTATCACTCTGGAATTTCAGTTTAGCATTAGCACAGAAAAATATTTACAATTTTTAAAAGTAATAAATTACATGTGCAATAAGACAAAACATTTACTAAGTCAAAGTCATTCTATATTAGGCAGTTATCAATAGCTTGGAAAAATAACTTGTATGAGTTCAAAATAAGTAAACATTCTTACCAACTATAGAAAATCATATCTGAAATCCCTGGCCAGGTAGCTCAGTTGGTTAGAGTGTCTTCCCAATACACCAAGGTTTTGGGTTCAATCCTTGATCAAAGTAAATACAAGAATCAACCAATTAATGCCAGCAGAGCCTGAGACCCTTGGCAATGTGGGCATGAGCACATTTCCCAAGCTTTGGGTGAACAATGTAGATAAGTCGATTAAGCTTGCAGGTGCCACCCTTTGGGATCTTGAGCTTGACCTCCTTGGGTTTCATCAGGGCCTTAATAGCTTGGCATGTGTACTCGTGGCTTTGGTCTGTATCTTCTCCAGGCCCTTTTTTGTTGTTCATGTTCCTCAGAAACTTGAGATCTACCCCCTTAAGAGATTTGTGTCTTTGTGATTCGGGTTTCTTGATGCCGTTTCTGCCATTTTCGAGACTGGTTGTACAAGTGTGGTTCTTGGACTTGGCCATAGCTGCACCTAGAGGACAAAAGTGGAGATCAGAACTGTGGACTCGTAGGGCTGGGCCTACCTCTACTGTCCTGATCGAAGCCTGCAGCTGCTAAAGCACATGGGACTGAAAGAGTGATAAGTCTTTCTTGGATCCATTCTTCCTTCTGAACATACAGCTAGACTACCTTTCCCAGCTTCTCTTGCAGTTTGATTTGAAGTCCTATGCTTCTCAAAGTATGGTGATTTCCAAAGAGAAAGGGGAGGGGTAGGAAGAGGTAGAAGAGGCTAAAGTGGGGGATAAAGGACACAAAGAGACTTGACTTTGGATGGTGAACCTGTAACAGGGTGCAGCCAAGGTGGGGGCAAATAGGGATTTGTAATGGAGTTCAGAACTCAGGGTGTCCAGGAAATATTAGAAAAAAATATATAGGATGTGCTCACCCCCACAAGTCTGAGCTGGGGGATGGAACACAAGGAGCAGGGCCACTTAGAGATGTTTTCAATAGCAACAGTTTAGCAGATAACCTCTAGAACAGTGATTTAACATATCTATAACCTTTAATTGGTTTCATAGATATGTTAAACAGCTGTGGCCAGGCTTTGAGTCAGGAGGATGGGAGTGACTACAATCTGTGATGAAACCAGGAGGCAACTCCCCCTGGTTACAGTGCCTGCGTAAGAGCTTGGAGATGATTGGCTCCACACCACAGGGCCACACCTGCTGGGACTTCACTATTTACTATGGCAGCCTAGTAAAGCTGAAAATATACAAAATGCTGGCAGTTGCGGCCACTTTTGGGAGGAGTCAGAAATGGTGCAGAGGAAGATTGGCGCTGGGATTTAAAGCCAGGTGCGGCAGCTATGCGGCATCTTTTTGGGACCACACAGCTTGGGTGGAGAAGAACCACAGACTTTGATTTCTTGTTCTGAGATTGTCCCTGGACTGGACAAAGGGGGAGGGAAGAACTGTGCATTTGTGGGTATTCTAAAGGAGTTTGGAATCTCAATGAAGACATTAAGTCATTACTCATAAGTTTGTATAACTCTTTAAATAAATGATCCATTTCCTTTTCACCAATCTCTGGCATGGAGAGATGTCTTTCCCTGGTGGTGGGCAAGGCAAACCTAGTACGGGGTGGGGGATGCCTGGAGCACAAGGGTGGGTCCATTGGGTAATAGTATATTATTCACCACCCCCACTGGGTCTGTTCTGTAACAAACACACAATACAATATACAGATAATATATTTTATTAACACGTCACCCCCAATAAATTCAATAAAAATATTTCTAAAAAGTGATGTGCTTGTCCAACATACTTTTTCCTTTCTGAATGGCCAGAATGGCAACGCACAGGAAAACTTGGAAACCACATGTTAAAAATGACAGAATCCTGACAGCATGGTTACCAAAATAGTTGTGTGGAACATAGCTCCCCCTTGCCTAATACACTCCACAAGTTATAAGTAATTATAATGATCTAAGCACATGCTGTTCTAGGCTTAAGGTGAATGAGAAGTAAGCTGCTGTTGAACTAAAGCAGGGTATTTTGAGGTCTGCCTATTTATGATCGTAGCCTAACTAATCCTAAAGATGCATTTGGCAATATGTAATTTCTACATATATTAATTGCTAGCAGTTCTGTTTCTAGGTATATTTATCCCCTAAGGAAACACAGATATGTCACCAGGAATACCTGACAAAGGAAATCAAAATTTTCTACCCTGAAGCTGCTTTATGGGATATTGATTTTAAGCTGTTTATTAAGAAACAAAAAAATCAGAAAGAACCACAGTTTATTCATTTCTGTATGAGAGTAGTTAATTAATTGCCTCCCCACTTTTCATTCCTATTAGCCTCAGTGCTGCAGTAAAAAAATTAATACTGTTACCAAGACTAAAGGGTTCTGTTGGTCCATGCACATCAAAGCCCAATATGACACAAACAAGAGTTTGCAGCTAAGAGAGTAAGGATTTATGAAGGACATGGTGCCATGCCTGGAGTTGCAGGTAGTTTATGCTCAAAGACCTGGCTCCCCCGTGGCTCCCAGGAGATGGATTATATAAGGAGGAAGTCGTTAATCATGATGCCTGGTGGGGTTATGGTCATGGTCTCTACTGATCCGTTGCTGCTAGGGTGGGGGTAATTGATCATTGCATCTGATCCTGATGTCAGCCATGGAGTTGTCCTGTCCAGTTTTGCGAGAATTTGTTCTGTGGGATTGTTCTGCTTTCCTGGGTCTGGAGCTAAAACAAAACTGAGGCCAAGACGCTATGTTTAGTTTGACTGAAAACTGTGTCAATAGTCAGTAAACACAGGACCTTGTTTCTAAGACTACTGGATTCTGAACAGAACCTTGTTGTCCTGAAGGCTTAATGATTAAGTAAGGGAGAGGAAGCTGGGTAAGTCAAACCACTAGGTGAGGCAAGTTTGAGTAAAAGGAAAAAACAAAAAACAAAAGGCCACGTTAAATAAACCAAGGTTTCTGAGGGGTGCCATCTTCTAAACTGGCTAATAATCAAATTAACAGAGGCAGATTAACAGGAGAAAATCAAGTTTTTAATATAGGCCCACGGGGAATTCACATAACCATGAAATTCCAAGGATGGTGAGACAACATTGGGTATATAAGATATTTTTAGACAAATCTAATTAGGTATTAGATTTCAGATGTGAGAATGGGTGATTACAGGTAGTTGAGGAAGAGGGGAACATACATGGCAGGAAAATACTTGCTAGGCAACTCAGAAGCAATGGGAGATAGGGGGATTCATAAAATGGAACACTATAAAGTAATAAAAGTTATTTAGACACACTTATTAACATGGATAAAGTAAGTTAAAAAAGGAAATTGCAAAATAATTACAATAGCATCTATGTAAAAATTTAAGAATCAGCATATGAAGAACATTTATATATAATTCTCTTTCATAGTGAATGTATAAAAATGAGAATTATAATGAAAGTCACTAATTTCAATACAGTAATCCTGGATTTCCCATGCGTGATTGTGTTCTGTATTACACAAATTTCTGGAGAACCATTCATATAAACCACAATATTTACAGCCCACTCTTATATGGCAGAACTAGAGGGAAGGCAGAACTATGGGGATGATTTTTTTGTTGTATCTATAGTTTAGAGAGAGAGAATGGGAGGAGGAAGGGAGCTGATGTGGTCAGGTGTTAACTTTTGTTCAAGCTTGAGGTTCATTAATAGAGGCCTTTGGGTTTCATGCATTTCGATATATATGAAGTGTTTTATAATTTAAAATAATAAAAAGGTTATAACTAAAAAAGTTCCCAAGAGCTATTTTATTTATTATTTCACTATAAAATACTTCTGAAAATATATAAATACTCATAAGCCAAAGAAAAAATCCTAATAAAAATGTAGTATATCAGTAATGATTTTATGCTTGTTTGTTAACTAGGAAATTCTTTTTTTTAATACATTTTATTGACTATGCTATTACAGTTCTATTTCCCCCCTTCATTCCCCTCCACCCTGCACACCCCTCCCCCACCATTCCCCCCCTATAGTTCATGAACACATGTCTCAAGTTCTTTAGATTCTATATTTCCCATACTATTCTTGCCCTCCCCCTTATTTTCTACCAACCATCTATGTTACTTATTTTCTGTACCTTCTCCCCCCTTCTCCTTCTCCCACTCCCCTGTTGCTAACCCTCCATGTGATCTCCATTTCTATGGTTCACTCTTGATCTAGCTGTCCTCTTAATTTGCTTTTGTTTTAGGTGTGGTTGTTAATAACTGTGAGTTTGCTGTCCTTTCACTGTTCATCTTTTTTATCTTCTTCTTCTTAGATAAGTCCCTTTAACGTTTTATATAATAAGGGCTTGGTGATGATTAACTCCTTGAATTTGATCTTATCTGAGAAGCACTTTATCTGTCCTTCCATTCTAAATGAAAACTTTGCTGGATAGAGCAATCTTGGTTGTAGATCTTTGGTTTTCATGACCTGGAATACTTCTTTCCAGCCCCTTCTTGCCTGAAAGGTCTCTTTTGAGAAATCAGCTGACAGTCTGATGGGAACTCCTCTGTAGTTGACTGTCCCCTTATCTCTTGCTGCTTCTAGGATTCTCTCCTTAATTTTAACCTTGGCTAATGTAATGATGATGTGGCTTGGTGTGTTCCTTCTTGGGTCCAACTTCTTTGGGACTCTCTGAGCTTCCTGGATTTCCTGGAAGTCTATTTCCTTTGCCAGATTGGAAAAATTCTCCTTTATTATTTGTTCATATAAGTTTTCCACTCGTGACTGTTCCTCTTCCCCTTCTGGTACCCCTATAATTCGGATGTTGGAATGTTTAAAGATGTCCTGGAGGTTCCTAAGTCTCTGTTCATTTTTTTGAATTCTTGTTTCTTCATCCTTTTCTGTTTGGTCATTTTTTTCCTCTTTCTGATCCACTCCTTTGATTTGAGTCCCAGTTTCCTTTTCATTACTATTGATTTCCTGTGCATTTCCATTCATTTCAATTAGTTTAGCCTTCATATGTTCCTCTAATTTGTGACTAAAATCAACCAGTTCTGTGAGCATCCTGATCACCAGTGTTTTGAACTGTGCATCTGAAAGTTTGGCTATTTCTTCATTGCTTAGAGTTATGGACTCTGGGGCTCTGAGTTGTTCTTGAGCCATGTTTTGATCTGTTCATGCCTGTTACGTACGAGGAGGTGTTCACCAGGGCGGGGCCACCCAGGTCGCTGGTTTGTGATGCTGTATTTGGGGGCGGGGTCAGAGAGGGACAATGGTGTTCCCCTCTGCCACTTTCTGCCACTGGGCCTGCATGGTCTGTCTCACCGCTCGCTCCTTCACTGGTTTATCTGCGCTTGAATGTGTGACCGTGGTCAGCCCTCAGTGGGTCCACCACCTTGTGCCTTCAGTGGGTCGGCCCACTACTCCACACCTGGGATCCGCCCACGGCTGCTGGCGCATCTGGGTTGCGTGCCCAGGTTGGTCAGGTGGATCTGTCCTGCCCGACCCACCTCTGCTGCTGGCTCT